CACAGAACCGTACGTTGAAATCACGGTGTTATTTGCTGCATAGAGTTCATAGGAGGATTTCGTAACATACCCTCGTATACGCGAACGCGGGTAAACACAGAGGTCAGCACCAGTGTCAACGAGAAATGTCACTTTTGTGTCGCGATCTGTCACAAATAGGCGGCGCGTGTTAAGGCAGAATTCGTTAGCCGCCATTAACGATTGCCCTGGTCGTTTTCCGAACTAAACGCGCACGGTTGATTGCACTTTCTTGCCTTGGCGCCGAATATAGAGTGGTACCAACACAAATTACTATCTTTGCCCGCGCCTTGTTGCCGGCTTTTGCTTCGGGAGCGGGAACGTTGCCGATACCCGTTTGACCTGGACGACCGGTGGTTTGTTGTCAAGGCAGCGATTTGCGCAGAGAGTTGCTCCAGCAGGGCTCGCGTCGTTAAACCCCCATCGGCAGCCTCATGAACTTGCGGGCGAGCTGTGGTTTCTGCGACGGCGTCTGCGAGATCGGCGACTGACGTCAAGCTGGCGTTGGCTTGTGTAGCCAAAATGGCTTGCATGGAAATGGGTAACCGGCTTACCTATAATGACCTTACAATGTTGTCCGGTACAACCGAGCCTGCCAAGTTTTGGAGATGGCGTAAAAACTGCGACGGTTTCCTGTCGCCTATCTCCTCGTGCTCCAAGAGCCGCTTCGTTTTCTGCTCTTGGGATGAACTTAGCCGCTTGATAAGCTCATTTTTTAAATATGTGTATTTGTTGGTCTCTGGCGGTCGACTTAGCACATCACGCACTTCCATAGCGTACTTACAGTCAAGGTTCGCTGCTAAGTAACTAAAACGAGTGTCCTCACTTACGATGCCGGAGATAATAAACTGATTCTCCACTTGAACGAACCATGTTTCAGGATCAGCAGCCCAGAATGGTGGGATTCGCACTGCAACCCTTTCTATGGCCTGTTGGCGGTTAGCATTGGCCTGGTCCTGATGTTGGTCTGGCATTTTAAAAAACCAAAGATAACGCGCGGTTGAATAGCGAGAACACACACAACACCGAAAACACAACGTACGTAATGCGACTACTCTCAAAAAATAGATCACGTCGGGGTCACCAATTTGTGGGTACGTTAGGTACTAAGAGTAGTAAATAAAAGCACGACCGTATTTATAGAAACTTTAACTGATTTATTAAAAATAAAAATACTAAAAATTATTGTAACAAAGATGTTGTCGCGGAGAGGTCAAAAACCGATCTGTCCCTTTTACAAAGTTCAAAAAGGGAAAGTAGGTAGTTTTGGGATTCTACAAAAATAGCAAGGCACTTGACTTCTTTGTTGAATAAGAACCGGGGAGTCAAGTGTCGAGGTCCAGGTATAAAAAGAAATGACATTATGTATATCTTGCTACATACAACTTAAAACTTAAAAACCTTAAATAATATTTGAATTTACAAAATGAAGCGAATAAAAATAAGTATAAAGAGTATAAGTATAAAGAGTTTAAGTATAAAGAGTATAAAAACATTGAAATTATAAAATAATTGTAGAAATATTAAAGGTGTATCACCACATTTATGATCTATGTAAATTTTATTGCTCATTATTATTGATATATATATATATATATATATATATTTTATTTATGATGGAGCAAATTTGAATTTATCCAAAATGACGAAAGTTAAAAAGACGAGCTGGTATAGGTAGCTAATAACTTGTAAATAAAACATAAATCTCAGTATTAAAAACCACCGTCCAATTTTATCTGGATACCGGTCGTTGCGGAAAACTTCCATCAATCATGTAAAAAGTCATAAATGCAAAACAAGCCATAACAAAACAAATTGCGCAGCAGTGTTACATGCAAATATATGTTTAAATTTTATCATTATTCCGGTAAAAAGTTCCAGAGTGGCCTGATGAAGAGAAATAAAGTGTTTAGCTCGGGATTATGATAAATAATTAATGATCTGACTCATGGTCCATTGTCCTAGAATAGGGAAACAAAGGGTCCAAGTAATATCTAAAATTAGCTCTCCGGTTTCTGCTATGGAAAATTCCAGTCTTTAATATTAATATACGGTTATTTATTAAAATATTAAAATTTTCTTTTTTTTCTTATTGTCCCAACATTCCTTTCTTGTCTATCTGAATTTTTAATATTAATTCGACCGCTAACAGACAGTTTTTAAGTCACCTAAGATTCCTTTGCATAAACTAGAGATATTTAACTTAAATATAACCTATACGAAGGAATTAGAAATTAACATATTAACATTTCCACTGATCTTTAAAAAGAATTTAGATTGCGGCACATATTGAATACATAAAAGAGGTAGGTAGGTACATCAATACACGAAAAATTTGGTTATTGACTAGGTATTTCCAATAGAAAAACTGAATTTTTCTTAGAACAATCAAGATATTATAAATGAATATTACAAAGATAAAGTTAATACACAATTCACCTGGAGCAGAATTTAGGGATAAATAATTAAAATTACGAATTTTGGTAAAAATATTGTGGTAATAAATATTAAAGAAATCTGTAACTATTTGATGTAATTAAAAAATTGCTCAATGGCGGCTCCACTCTCTAAAAATGAAATAGTCAAAATTCTACTATTTGAATTAGTACCAGCATTTTTTAATAATAAAATAGTCGTTTTCACTTTTATATAGTTATTTTTTACTACGTAAATAGTTAAAGTTTGACTAATTTAAGATTAGTCACCATCTTTGACTATTTCTGAGAGTTAAAAGTAACTAATTTCTTTAATCGTTTGCGGCCAACAACAAAGTATTATTTTATTTAAATGCATATACCTAAGCTCCATGGTTAAATGAACCATAAAAACAAATAAAGATGCAAAAAGTTTAGCAACAATATTTATTGACAAATAAAATTATTTTTTATAAGAGAGGCTATTTCATTCAGTAGAATTTGACTAATTATTAGTGACTGCTTTTTCGCTATGACAATTAGTCAAATATGACTAATATAATTAGTTATTTTTGACTAATTCATTTTAAGAGAGCACAGTTTTCTTGAGATCAAGCGAGGAAAAAGCCTGATTTTCGATTGTACGGCCGGGCCACATTTTTCCGTCTCAGGACTATAGGGCTAGCGCAACCGAGTGCGCTAATCGTGTAGGATACGAAAGCGAGACCTGTATCTCCGATCCCTAAGTGGTTAACGCACCGCCTGTAATTAGGTATTATCACTAGAGGCTAAATGTAGCAAAGTATTCCTCAAGGTTATGACGATTAGCTGTCATTTTGATTATAATAATTATGCAGGTACACTGCATTGTGCCATACCAAAATAACCCAAACTTAACAACCCAACCCAACCGACCCCGCCCCATTGGGCCCCTCCCGCCCCATTGTCACAATCCAGCCTACCCTTAGATATATTATACCTCTATTGCTCAATGGGACGGGAGGGGCCCAATGGGGCGGGGTCGGTTGGTTTGGGTTGTTAAGTTTGGGTTGGTTTGGTATGGCACAATGCAGTGTACCTGCATAACCAAGATGACAGCTATTCGTCATAACCTTGAGGAATACTTTGCTACATTTAGCCTCTAGTGTATTATCGCGCTATAACGTGCATACAATGATTCGCGCCTTTAAGACATACGTCAATCTGTTTGTTTGGTTATTAATATTATTATTATTTTATGTGTACATACAAAGAAAGATCACCTAGAAAGCTAATTGCAGAGTGCTTATTCGTATGCAGTGCGTTAACCACTTAGGGAACGGAGATGCAGGTGTCGCTTCCGTATCCTACACGATTAGCGCACTCGGTTGCGCTAGCCCTATAGGAGACGGAAAAATGCGGCCGGGCCGTACCAGCCGCCACTGTCTTCAATCAAAAAACCTACATGGGTAAAAGAAAACAGTAACCATTAATCACAGAACACTAAGCATTGCTGCGCAGAAAACTAATCAACTTAATATACAATGTCAATCTTAATTTTAGTGTCAGTGGACCATTTAAAACTATACAATTTCTTATAAAACATTACGGGTTACTTTGACAACAGCAGTTACTTTTGTGATATATATGAGTAGTGTCAGGAACTGCAGTGATCAATATTCTGCACATTTATAATAAATTATTATTATTATTTAAAAAAATAAGTGGATTACTGTTCTGCGCATCAATTTTATTTTTATTTTTTTCCGTGTAGGATGTAAAAATAATTTAGATCAATCGGTTAAAGTTTTTTATCTAATAGTCTGTAAAAAACCCGTTTGGACCAATAAAAACACTCGACTACTGTAACAGTAGATCCAAGCCAAACTTACTTTCTACGTTCTAATTATAATTTTACGTTTTACAAATAAAATTATGCCATAAAGATAAAATGTTGCATGCAATGCGGCTGAGAAGTGTATTTTTGGGTTTCGCTCTTCTTAGCCTTATGACATTAATAACAATTTTGTAAATCCTATTTTTACGAACGTCGCGACGCGTCGCGACGTTGAAAACTTGTTGTTTACTGTTTACAATACCTAGCTTGAAACGATTTAAGTGATTTTTACCTGGCGTTATTCTTTGGAATTTGTGAAAAAAATTTACAATTTTGTATTGTATTTTTTAATTAAGCATTTACAGATACACGAATACCTATTTTTTGCATCTTTGTTCCATACATCATGCTAGTAAAGTTTGCCCGATCATTTTAGTTACAACCTGTATAGGGACCATTATAATAAACAATTTATTTTTATAATTATTATTCATTACATATGTATGCATTTCAATAAGCTTATAGCTTGCCTAAAAACGAATTTTTAGCAACTTGACAGTAAGGGGATACATTAAATCACATTGATATTTGGTTTGCAATCTCTATTATTTTCAAAGTCTATTTTAAAATTTCTACTTTTGCCCTATCGGCATTCCTGACGCGTTTCGTTGGTCAGCCAAATCTTTTTTAAAGAAAATTTACGAGAAAAAAACACTTCAAAGTTAACATCAATCGCATACGTATATACTTACATCAACGTGGACTCCTTCGACTTTGTACCAGTTTGCTTGCGGACGCGCCTTGGGAACGAATCTGTAAAACTCCTCGTGTTCCTTATACCACTTGACCGCATACAGGGTGTCATTACCCAGGTCGTAGTCGCACTGCAGCATCGCTGTCTCCCCTGGCACACGGTACTGGGGCACGTTCACGCGGACCCATTTTAAGCCCGCACCTGAACACGCAACTTCTGAAACAAAATAATAATGTTAATGATTTATGGGCCATTTTTCTTTTCTCTGTACATTTATTGTGTTTTAAATATATTTTACGACTTATTTTTATTTTTTTTTGAAAAAATATTCTTATTTGCTTTATTTCAGTAATAATGTTAATTTTTCGATACGACTTAGCCCTAAGTAAAGCAAATGTTTGTAAGGGGACAGGCTATTAAATATTTAACCTTCTTTATTAGTTTAATGAAAAGATCATCATAACCTGTAGCATTACATGTTTTTAATTTAGTAATTATATCAAAATATGTTGGAATACAAATATTATAAATAATTTTGCATTCATAAGGGTGATTCAAAAAATAAACTATTCGTTTTTTTTTACTTATTCGGGCCAATTCACTAACAGAAGTAGTGGTTAACGTTAGCCACTAGAATCAGTGGTTATCTGCCAAACCGCCACTAATTCTAGTGGCTAACGTTAACGACTTATGTTAGTAAATTGGCCAGATTACATCAAAAAATTGGTTGGTCCGATGAAATAATATGAATATATATCTGCACCTATCATTAATAAGTAAAATTAATTTTATTTAATAAGGTTAACAAATTTATTTTCAAGGAAAATAACAAATTTATTTTTGAATAAATTTGGAATTTCTAAATTAGGTAAAGAAATAACAAGTTTTTCGAACTTGGCATAAAAATCTGGTGTCCAGATTATACAAGAAAGGATGATCCAGGTACACGAACCGAGTAAAGGGAAGCGATAAAAACAGGCAGAAAGTGTTTGAAAATGGTATCGAACGCATCGCTCTTATAAATTTTTACTAAAACGAAATTTATTGTAAAGTTCCGTAATAATTGTTACAAGTGTTTGTGTATGCTTCCAGGTTAGTTCTTAATTCTAGTAGCCCAAATTATGTAGTAAAGTCCACTAAACGTAGAACGATTCAAATTTAAGTAAACTGATTATTAGTTATTTTGCACTACTACGTTTAGCGAATTTTACCCGATATTAACACCTTTAGATATTTTTATAAAATGTTTTTGGCTTTTAAGTTTACTGTTTAATGTAAAAATTTCTATTCCGTTATTTTATTGTTTAAGGCTTAGATTTAGTTCTATATACACTGTCCCTGTAGCTCAAATGTTTAAACCTTTCCTAACACGATTATGCATTTTTTGTGGTCATTTTAAAACAAAGATCGGTGTGATACGTGACGTTTCGTTGCTCAAAATGGAGTATTGACCGTTAATTTTAAACTTTGAATGCTCCTTTTTCTTTAGCGCACGTAGTTTGCAGTAGATACTAAAATGCTCCCCACCTTGAGAGTAACTGGTCACCTAGGTTCTCTAGGCGACATCGCGACATCCGGACCCTACATCTATTAGGCGGGTTGCTCCCAGTACGGACACGTTACACACAGGGCAAAGTTAACGTTGACAGACTAACAGTTAACTGCCCTGTTAACAACGTTTTTGCTTTTTTGAACTTGTAGAGGGTAAATAAAGTAACGAGCGTCGCGTCATTCCATTGATTTGCATAAACTTTTAAAGAAACAATGCGTAATCGTGTAATCCTTTGCTACTTCATAGCCGAACAGGGTTTTTTCTCTAGCGCTTTTGCCCTGGTCGTATCTCCCTAAGAGCCACCCTTTGCTTTTTGTAAACCGTTTGTAAAGTAAATTAAATAGGGGTAACCTTAACAATGTATTTTATTTTTTGTATACCTTATTATCCCAAGTATTATTCTTAAAGCAATGTATTTATTAAAACAAGTAAGTAAACACAACCTAGAGGTCCAGGTCAAGACGATCACGAGCCAAAGTCACAAAATATTTCATTTATTAATTTTTCATAAAACTTGTTTAAAACGAACCTGGTGTAATGAGAAATCTTTACAATACATATCATATTAATGCTAAAAAAATATATAACCTGTAAAAAAACTAAAAAAAAAACTGATAAAGATTTTATTTTTAAATGCAGTCACCAAGTAACTGATTTGATCCCGCATCGCTAAATAACTATCGGAGTATCGCTAAATAACTATCGGAGTATCTCACTTTTAACAAAGAGCAGCTTTAGCCAAATAAATTCGTTGTAATCGCGGATTTAATTTTGAAGCAGGGTGCTGTTCCATGTTCGCATTGGCATTTACCAATTTTCAACATATATTAAGGATGAAAACGATGAAACAGTGCAGAACCAAAGTCTGGTTATAATCGCCGTTTAAAACACAATTTTAAATACGTTTATCAAGTTTAAATCATGCTTAATAAATACTCTAAAGGACGGTTTACGACTGCTTTCTAATATACTCACTCTTTGTGAATTTAAAGGAAAATTTGGCTTTGACGTCGAGTGGCATTTCTTTTGGTATGTCACACGGTAAAGGGCCATATGTAATACACATGGCCCTTTACCGTGTGCTACTATAGCAATTTTACAAAGACCATAAGACTATATGAAAGGAAAATTACTGTTACCTAATCATTATATAATTGGGCAAATAGCAAGCAGTCTTATGTGGACTATCGTTCAGTGGCGTAACTATCACCGCTGGGGCCCGTGGCAAATTCATCAGATTGGGCCCCCCTTAATTTAAAGAAGTTGCTTATAAATTATTTTAAATAAATTAAAATAAAAAATTTAAAAATTATTTAATAAACATAATAATTTTATTTATTCAAATTTTATGAATATATTTTTAATCCCATAAACCGTACAATACTGTTAAATTACCTGTCATTAGATGCTAACGGTTTTTGTTCAAATTAAAAAATATATAAATATATAGGTATTTATAGTGATATTTTAACACCTTTTCTTTTGGAAGTACAGTAAGTTCCTATATATCAAAAAAGTTATTGCAGTCATTTTGCTAAAGATTATACTTAAATCTTACAGAGAATACTTAAATCTTGGTTTGCCATTCTGTGCATTCTGGCCGGGAGCGTTCTTCGGCCGGGGGGGCCTTAGGCCGGGGGACACATAGCTCTGCTACCCTGTAGTTACACCACTGCTATCGTTACTGCACACTTGGCGAATACAAAAAAGTTTAATCACTAACCGTCATGACGCGCCACAGGAACAGCAGTTCCACATCTTTGTTTCACTTGATTGCAATAGCATCGCAGCGCGTCGTACTTTGTTTGCTAAAGGTACGGATTCGTTGATGCGACTCGCGGCTGCGGCCTGCGGCTGCGATCGTAGCCGCTCCACTGCTTAGTACAATTTGTTTGTATATTTTTTGGTTGACGCGTTCAGTCGCAGATTTTTTATAAACAAATTAGGACACATAGCTTTATGACCAATTATAATTATCTTTGATTAAAGTATACATTTTATCCAAAGTTATCTGCTTAAACTCCGTTATTATTGGAGCTACAAAGTCGGTTAAATTAGCAAATTGGTGACTTTCTTTCTGAATAAATGGTAGCCATAAAAACATTTTCTTTAATAGAACAGCCTATATATTTTGAAAAAAAATTTAATTTGAAACAAAAAATTATAATTGCTAGATCTGCAACATTAACAATTAATAAGCAGGCCTTTTTAATACCTTTACAACATCTTACAAATGCCAATCGTATAAAATATGAATAGAAAATACACAATCCCGTAAAACATAATAAGAGATTTTAGCGATAATAGCCACCCTCTAAATGCTATTGTAAATCAAAACAAAAATGTCAACACATTTTTAAATGTTTAAGCCTGAATCATAATGAGACACAAATGTTGATATAAATCTAAAATATATTTTTCTGCACGACCATCTATAAATAAACAATCCAATAAAACGGGATCAGAGATCGCTATTAAAAAACAATTTTAACCCATTTTTAAATGCCTAAAACATAATTATATTTGACAGAAATTTATAATATATTTATGTATGGGTAGTCGCACAGGAAATTATACTTTTTTACTACGTTTAATTTGGACGGTCGATTTTTTTCTGACAAAATCTGGTAACCCTACTCAATTTTAAATTTGGTTAAAAATAATTTTATATCTTGATTGTCAAATAATTTTATATAACATGTAATTTTATTTAATTTTACTTAAATTATTCTAAAATTACAATTATACTCTATATAAAAGTGTACTACGGTATTCTATTTAATTTTTACATTATTTTCACCAGCATAATTTTATATTAAAAAAGAAGAGACAAAATACATACTCTCTTAAAATGAATTATAATTAGTCAAAAATCATAGTCACTAATAATTAGTCAAATTCTACTGAATGAAATAGTCAAATTAGTAGATTTAAATTTAAAAAAAGTTTTGACCCGGCCAAGGCCATCAGCCCCTCTTATAATAATCAATTTGTCAATAAATATTGTTCATAATATTTGAATATATTAATTGTGTTGCTATTTTGAGCTAAACTTTTTGCATCTTTATTTGTTTTTATGGGTCATTTAACCATGAAGCCTAGGTATATGCATTTAATTCAAATAATCCGTTGTTGTTGGCCGCAAACGATTAAAGAAATTAGTTAGTTTTAACTCTGAGAAATAATCAAAGATGGTGACTAATCTTTAATTAGTCAAACTTTAACTATTTACGTAGTAAAAAAAACTATTTAAAAGTTAAAACGACTATTTTATTAGTAAAAAATGCTGTTACTAATTCAAATAGTAGAATTTTGACTATTTCAATTTTAGAGAGTACTTAATTAAAATATGTGATCCTGTTGCTGCATTCAAATGAGAAGCGTCGATGGCAAATAGATCCTAAATGCATAGAAAATTTAACTGAAATAAGGCGGTTTCTAATTACTCAAAACAAATCGGATTGTTTGTCGGTAGCTTGTTTGTTTCATTGGAAAAGGCGATGGCCGAGACAGGCAGGACACATACAACATTTCGTATTCGCAGATACAGACTGCTAATTATGCGCTTTGTACAAATGTTGCGAACTTGGCAATCCTACTGAATACATCATTAATTCGCTTACTTCTGTTTTCGTTGCCGTGTTTGTTTAGAAACTAGAAAGTG